TCTAGTATGAGGAATGTTTTCTGTATTGGAGAGTGAATGAGCTGAGCAATCCTTACGACTTGCACTTTTGTGGAGGTCTCCATTATTTTTGGGAGGTACCCTGGGAAGGGGCAAAATGGATAGAGGGGAGCAAACACGCACATGCGTGTCATTATCTGGAAAAAGAGTTGGAATGGCCAGTTGTGACAACCGCTCTTGTTTCGATCAGAGACCACGTTGGAAAGCTTATTTAGCGTGCCCTCTTTATGGCACTTTTCGCCTTCATATGGACCGGATCTTCCTTTGGCCTGCGTGCCTAAGAGACCCACGCCGTCAAAATCATCTGTTTGCCATCTCAAAGACCATAGCTGAAAGATAATTTCCAGTGCGAAGTTTCTGGCTAAGGGAGAGAACACAGGAGTAAGTACATCCATTTTCCATCTCTCTCTTCATGCAAACGGCGGCTTGATGGCCTGTGACAGTGTAGTTCTCCTGAAGCCTACCTCAAGCAAGATCCTTGCCTGAGAAGAGCCTTCCCTTCGGTTTTCAATCTGCACGCCGTTTTACCAGTGTTGTTGATATGGTTTCTCTTTGGATGGGTGGCAATCCATCTGAGTGAAATTTAGGAGCGCCGTGTTGAGCACGAAGTCATTTGGTGGGGTAGAGGCTGACGTTCGTCCTTTGTTTTCCCCCATGCACTAGACGGTCCACATCAGAGGTCCCAGAGAAGAGTCTCACACAAAGGCCACGTCTCTTGTTTGCAGCTGGGGTTGACTGCTCCAGGGCCCCGAAGACACCGACCGGGCACTTGATCTCCCAGAACATTCATCAGAGAAACGACGAGCATCAGACCGTGATCGACGACGTGTTCTCTGCTGGAGATGGAGAGCGGCAGACAGACCGATTCACGCAAAGTGAGTGTCTGATGTGCTGCTGCCAAAGCCCTTGGCATCAGAATTGTTTCTGCGGACGCAGCTCGTGTGAGGAAGACGCCCCCTGGCACCTCCCTTAAATCTTTCCCATTCACATTGCCGATGTGCCATCCTTTTCATAGTGACTTGGGTGGGGACAGGTTCCCTGATGTACCTGCTGAAGCTGCTGTCACTCCTTCTGTGCACCATGTCCCGGGTGGTAGAAGGAGGTCACCCCTCCAAATACAGAAACAGCAGTGCCAGAATCCTCCAGATTGCTTTTGGCACAGCCCCGTGCATGTGCAGGCAGGAAGAGGGCCTGCAACTCCCACGGTTCTGCAGCGGGATGGGGAGTCACGTGTGGCTCAACATGCGTAGGCTTGCACCGCGATTCATTTTCCTTGCCTTTCCTGATCCTGCTCCACCGCCGTCCAGCCTGCGATTTCGAGCCACCTGTGCTGATGACGACTGGACAATACTAACCAGCCCTCTTACGTTTTGACCTTTCAGGGGAGATGCTGGCAGTCCCGTCATTCGTGAGGCCGATGCCAGGAAGGAGCTGCATGGGACCATCAGCGGGGCGCTAGCCGTGCCGAGAAGGAGAAACCCGCAGTCTAAACGGGGGACCCACGGGTTGCATCGCACCTGAACGGAGTCCGAGACAGGACCCACCGCCCTCCTGGATGAACGCGGGGACTTCCTTTGCAGCCTGCTGGGCGACTCCTTGAAAGCGAGCAAATGAACGTCACGGTGTCGAGCCAGTTTTGGAGCTGATTTTTCCTCGGTGGTTATTTTTGCAGCTTCTCATGTCATTCTGTCTGGGGTGGAAATCTTCAGCCGTCGCTGAAACAAAACTTGTCCCACTGAAAAACAGGACCGTATCTAAAATTTGAATGGGAGCTGCTCTGTCGGTCCATCCGATCTGTGCCACTGTATCTCTAGAAATTAGTATTGAATCATGGTGTGAGGTTTTCTGGTGAGTCCTCAAATGAGCTATGAACTCGCTAACCTTGGAGCCACCCAGAAAAACAAAGGCCCACGTAGGACGTGAGGATGTGGTCTGAGCTGGTTTAACTAGAGCTTCACTGGAACGGCCGAGCTTCATGAGGTTAGAGTGCCGTGACCTTGGCGTCAGGTTCTGTCATTCTCAGGGATGTCCTGCCTTTGCCCCTGTGTCTGAGAGCCACTGCACGAACCGTCACTGAGCCTGCAGAGTTGTATACGTTCACCCTGTGAGCTTGGGTGGCCTTTGGCAGACGTGGGGCGGGGGTGACCCCTCACAACGAAGTTGTAAATTCATTGTTGCTGAACATTTCCTTTTCAAATCAGCTTTTATTTATTGAACTTGTAATTGGGGCTGGATGGCCCCTTGTTAGTTAATGATTTTATTTTAATCTCTTCCTCATAAACTGTAAGTATAAAAAGTCAATTCAGTATCACACCTCTGCCGACTTCCCTTGCTTTATTTTGCACTGGGTTCAGGCGTTTACTGTCACCTTTAAGACTTATCCCCCTGCTGTAAAGTGCGGATTCCCTGTGTGCTACGCTTTGCTGATTCTGAACCCCTCCTCATTTTCCTGCTCTCAGCTGCTGGGCTCCTATTGTGTTGACTTTGCCGCATCAGCTCTGTGACATGTTCTAACTGCAGCACGGCAAGAAAGGGCACTAGCCGGAGGAAGGGGCCTTCCTGCCCTTCCCTTTGGTTGCCCGCTGCAGCCCACCCTGTGGACTACGCAACACAGGCCCGGTGTCACGAGTCAGCCTTTATACCCTGCCCCGTTACTAGCGCTTTAAAACAAGGACTGATGAAATGGCAAAGCATCCAGCCATGCACAGTAAAATCACGCTTAAAAGCAATGATACATTAAAATGGTGGGAGAAAAATAGAATGAAATACCAGAGGAAAGGTCGGGGACCAACAAGACAAGCCCTGCATCGAGTGGGCAAATGCATCTGCAGCGCTGCTGCAGAAAGTGGAGGATGCTGAGTGGAAGGCGTGTCTTCTCGATGGCTGTTGGACCTTGAAGTCTCTTAAAAGGCTACTATTTTATTATTGACCACCATTAGGAGAGGTGCAGAGTTTGTGCAGACAGAGGCTCGTGTATATGCCATGTGTACCATGCCTTTTTCTCTTGTAAGGAACTCAAGGCGGCTGGCACAATGCTTGGCCCAATTTGATGCTCACAACAACAACCCTGTGGGGTAGGACAGGTCAAGACTCTGTGCCTGGCCCAATGTCAGTTGGTGAGCTGCATGGCCAGGCAGGGAGTAGAGGCCGGATCGCCACAGCTCCAGCCCCAGCCTGGCACGCGGTATCGCTGCCCTCGCCGGCTGGGGGAGCCTCACCCGGTCCCCGCATTCAGAAGCCTCGTCCAGCCAGTGCAAGGCTCCCGAGCGAGCGGGGAAGCCGAGCCCGGCGGAGGCGACTGTGGCAGCCGAGGGCCCGATCCGCGGGGATGGCGCCCCGGAGCAATGCGGGAAGGGGGTGCGCCTGCTGGGCCGCTCCTCTGGATCAGGATCGGGGGGGGAGGGGAGGATGGCGGCGGGGGCGCATTCCTGGGCAGGCCAGCGGGCCTGGCCCAGCAGGGAGAGCTGGGGGGACGGAGTCGGGCGGGGCGGCCGAGGTGGGGCGGCAGCAAGCGGGGCGCTGTCAAGCCCGCTGTGCACGCCCTTATTGCGACGGGCCGGGTCAGGCAGCGCGGGAGAAACGTTCCGCGTGCGAGCGGCCACGTCGCACTACCAAGCAAACGGACCTTCCGGGGAAAAAGGGCAGGAAAGAGCCAGGCCTCCCCTTCTGGCGGCCATCTTAGGAGAGGCAAGGAAGTGCCTCACGCTCGGGAGGGGAGGGAGGGAAGTGATGACGCAGGCGCCATCTTGGTCGTGGCTTCTTACAGGGAGTGTAGTCCTCCGCCATTTTAGTAGTGGCCGGCCTTGCAGAGGCGTTCCATAGACGTACGAAGGGGAAGAGGTGCCGCTCCTGCCCTGTGCACCTGCCCCCAGGACGCGATCCCCTTCTCCTGCTCGGCGTCTACTCGAAGTAGGGATTGTATTCTCCAGGCTTGGACTCGCAGCTGTCCTACCTCGCAGGGCTGTTGTGAGGATAGAACAGGGAGAATGGGACTCGTGGGCGCTGCCTTGGGGTTAGGATGATCTCCAAGATCATTTTCAGGTAGGCTATCGTCAAGGGAGAGAAGAGCTGGAAGTATCTTGTGGGAAAGGCTAGCCCTGATACCCATGGGTGCCTGCCTTCTCCCCGCTCAGCTCTCATTCTTCTTTTCTCATTTCCTTCTCCTCTGCCATGACAAACGGCTCAGAAGACAGGATGTCTCATGAGAGAAAAGGCTGGTGAAAGCCTTTCCTTTTTTAAAAAAAAAGTTTTATTATTATTATTTTCTACGAGCTAAAAAAAATAAAAAAACTAAAAACATCAATCAGCAGAGACATCAGAACTGCTGGGTCAACCTCCTCCCCCATTTTTTAAATAGCAATCCATAGACATATTCAAATCTGCGCACAGTCCCGTTTCTCTAGACAATAATAAAAAGAGTTCCACGTTTGACAGAAATATGTATCCTCTTTCTCCTTCAGAGGCAAAGTCAGCCTGTCCATTTCAGTGCAGTCCAGGATCTTTTTAAAAATCAGATAATCAGAAGGTGGTTCTTCACCCCTCCAATGTGGGGCAAATACAATCCTTGCTGCAGTAATCACTACATGTAGATCAAATAGGTTGCCTGTTTGTCAACATCATCAGACACATTTCCTAATAAAAAGACTTCAGGTTTCAATATTAAAGATTTGTGTAACATTTCCTCAAGCCATTTATGTAGTTTAGCCCAATAGATTTTTCCCTTATGACAAGTCCACCACATGGGATAAGAAGGACCAGGTTAGTGTTTGCCTTTCCAGGGAAAGCCTTCAGGCCGCAATTCCCGGCAGTGGCCACAGGAGGGCACTCCAGGCGCGCCGCTGACGCCTCCGTTGCTGAGCGTAGAGCCGCACCGGGATCCCCGGCTGCACGAAGCCCTCCCCACGCACGGACTCTGGATTTGCCGTGGATCTTTGTGGATGCGCAGCTCGTAATTTCTGCCCATGCTAAACACATTCCAACCATGAAAAATAGAATAAAACACTAGAGGCAGGTCGGGGACCAGCAAGACAAGCCCTGCATCGAGTGGGCAAATGCATCTGCAGTGCTGCTGCAGAAAGCGGAGGATGCTGAGTGGAAGGCGTGTCTTCTCGATAGCTGTTGGACCTTGCAGTCTCTAAAAAGGCTACTATTCTATTATTGACCACCATTAGGAGAGGTGCAGAGTTTGTGCAGACAGAGGCTCGTGCATACGCCATGTGTACCATGCCTTTTTCTCTTGTGAGGAACTCAAGGTGGCTGGCACAATGGTTGGCCCAATTTGATGCTCACAACAACGACCCTGCGGGGTAGGACAGGTCAGCTGGTGAGCTCCATGGCCAGGCAGGGTCTAGAAGCCGGATCGCCACAGCTCTGGCCCCAGCCCTGCACGCTGAATCGCTGCCCGCGCCAGCTGTGGGGGCCTCGCCACCTCACCCGGTCCCCACACTCGGAAGCCTCGTCCAGCCAGCGCAAGGCGACCGAGCGAGCAGGGAAGCTGAGTCCGGCAGAGGCAACTGTTGCAGCCGAGAGTCCGATCCGCGGGGATGGTGCCCCGGAGCAACGCGGGAAGGGGGTGCGCCTGCTGGGTTGCTCCTCTGGATCAGGACTGAGCAGAGGGGGGCAGGGGGCATTCCTGGGCAGGCCACCGGGCCTGGCCCAGCAGGGGGAACTGGGGGCAGGAGGGATGGAGCCGGGGGGGGGGCGAGGTGGGGAAGCAGCAGAGGGGCGCTGCC